TATTAGAAGACGATGATGTCCGGCGGCATTAAAATCAAAAACAACAACGAATATATCTCTTTATTACTCTGACACCAATGGCACAAGTGAAGTGCGAGTACGCGATAGAAATGCATACGCTCGGCTACGGCCGGAATGCTTCGTTCCTCCTCTCGTTCCGATGCGTAGATTGCTGGCGGGCGAACCAATCCCCCTCTCCGGCATAAATAGTGGTGCAGCTCCGTCGAACCCTCTTTTGTTTTTGTTTTCGTGCGACTTGCAAGCATTGTACACAGTAATCGGTTACTGTGTTATTTTGAAACTCCAAAATGGCTAAACAAATGAAGAGACAGTGGAAGCTTTAAGTTAAAAGTCATTAAGTTTGCCAAAGAATTTGGCAATCATGCAGCTGAGCGGGAATTTGGACCTCCACCAAATCGGAGGGCAATCATCAGATGGAGGAAGGAGGAAGAGAAGCTTCGGAAAATGCCAAGGAAGAAAAAGGCATGTCGTAGGAAGTCAGCCAAGTGGCCACATTTGGAGAAGGAATTAAAGACATGGATAGTTGAGCAACGACAACTTGGTGCAGTTATTACAACCAATATGATTTTACAAGAAGCCAAAAGAATAGCAAGAGAATAAGAAGTTGAAAACTTTACTGGTTCAGCAAATTGTTGTTATCGCTTCATGAAAAGAGAGAAACTGTTCATGAGGACTTGCACCAGACTTGCCAGTGATATTGAAGAAGACGAGGAATGTGAGGGGGTTGTCACTATACCTGATGCACCAGACAGCGATGATGAGTGTATGAGCGATTATTATGAGTCTTGAATTTTGTTTGTTTGTTAATTTTCTTTCTTTGTAACTTGTTTCACTAATAAAATATTTTTTCAAAACTTCACAGTCAAAAAATTGGGGGATGGCTTATACAAAGGGGGTGCTTATACATGGGGAAATACGGTAATTAAAGAATATCACTAGGCTCGGTAAGTAGCAAGCTTAGTAAAATAATGGTTTCCCGCTGCGACAATGCATGTCGCATGACAGAGGAAGGCCCAATACGAATCCACCAGTTGGAGGATGGTGCACTGAAGCCTAAATTAGCAAATCAGAACGCCATGGCAACTTTACTTAAATTACCAATGAGGTCAACTTGCTGAGCATTTGCATCAAACATTAAAAACGAAACTGTATTAGATAATGCAAAAGAGTTAACCTGATTAGTTCCGACATAGGAGGCTGCCATGACCTTTGAAACGGAGACCGTGACTACTGCAGAACGTCCGGTGCTTGGTTGCGACTCTCCTGAGACTGTAACTCGAGCCCGGGGCCAATGAGACAATGAGGCCATGTGGACAGGAGTATCGGCAAGCTGTGTATGCTCATTCGACTGGAGTCGGTCTGCTACTTCCTCGGCTGAAAATGAATGGTGGGAATCGTGAGAAGCAGAACCTCGAGAAGAAGAATTTCTGGGCCTAAAGTGAGTAGAACCGCTGGTTGAAAAATCTAAGTTATCGTCATCTATGCATGAAGCAGAAGTCAAGGCAAAGGAGGCTGGTTTAGCATGAACATCAGTGACTGAACGATATGCTTCATCTAAGCTTAGATTTCCTGGCCGAGTAGAGCACCATACTGCATGGCGCATCGCCTGAATTAGATTGGCTTCGGAATTCGACTTGATGATGAAGTAGCGGGCGCGATAAAAAAGTCGAGTGTCGAGCACAGGTGGATTAACTCTGTTATAAATGGACAAAGAGATAGAATAAGA